AGTTGACTAACAGTCAGTCGACGGCGACGGGAGGCGGAGCGTATTGAGGACTGACGTCGAATAAGGGTGTCTGTATAAAATTTAGAGAAAAGGGTGATATGAGGTACGGCATTTCCCCTAGAAGACCGGAGGAGGGGGAGGGGGAGTTATCTGAGGTTGCAACAGCATTTTAAATGGGGGAGAATTATGAGGAAATTAGGCAGATAGTATTGCTAGCAAAGACAACGGAGACCGGAAAGGCCATTTCTGACTTATTTGCCGGTGTCAGCCAGTCATACCCAACCCCAAGTGGTGTGTCACTCGGAGTTCGAATACGTGACCTTTTTGATCAGATTCTAACGCCCTAAAAATTGAGCCACGAGCTCGTTGTTTCCCCGGTTAAGGTCAGAGATATTTAAACCCGTTGCTGAACGTTCACTGACTACTAACAGGGCTCACTTGTCCCACTCTGTCTTGGAGCTCATGTCTTGGGCCCTGACAGTAGCCGTAGCAGCTATGCAGACAGTATTGCCGACAAGTAAATTTTAATTTCTAGAATGTGAAAGCCGTCAACTTGAGGGATACAGATTTTCAGGGGCAGCTTTAAAAGCAAATCCTGGAAACAGGACACTACAGCGGCATTCCTACTAAAACAAGAACCGCGGTGCTGAGTATATTCCCACACGCTGCAGTAACTACACTACTTTGAAAGCGACTGTATTCGGTAGATTCTCAAAGTGAATTGACGAAAAATATGATGCTGGACAACCACATCATTGATTCGACTTACATGCTCAATGGTTTTGTTGGGAATGCCGCTACTCCCACGACGAGTCAATACACACAAGGGCGTCGCGAATCTACCTGGCCGACGGCCGGCATATCTGCTCAGTTCTGATTGGTACATTGTCCAGACTATGTCTCTCGCGTTCCCCCTTTTATGCATTCTACCTCTGTATGAGAACGACTTGTGCTAACGTGCTTTGTCTGGGTACACGCTGTATCGTGGTCTCTGTCTTCTCTCAAACTGGGTTTTGGGAATCGGAGTCGGCTAGCCACCGCTCGTGCTAATTACCAGTACTAGGCACGGGTCGTAACAGACTCCACA